CACAACATGTGGCCTTTTGTGACTAGCTTCTCGTAGTTATAATTTTTTGAAGGTTCATCCATGTTGTAACATCTCTCTCAGTACTTCATTTCTTTTTATGGCCAAATAATATTCCATTGAATGTATATACTACGTTTATTTACCTATTTTTAAAGTAATAAAATAACAAAATATATTTTTAATGAAGATTTAATGGATTTCCTAACCAGGATCACTTTAGGATTTAAGGATTACAAACTAGGCAAACTAGAAAACAGGGCAGGCCGGGTGCAGTGGCTCACACCTGTAATCCTAGCACTTTGGGTGGCTGAGTTGGGAGGATTGCCTGAAGCTAGGAGTTCAAGACCAGCCCGGGCAACCTAGTGATATCCCATCTCTATAAAAAATTTAAAAATTAGCTGGGTGTGGTAATGCGCACCTGTAATCCTAGCTATTAGGGAAGCTGAGGCTATAGTGAGCTATGATTGCACCACTGTACTCTAGCCTGGGTGATAGAGCGAGACCCTGTCTCAAAAAGAAAAAGACCACAGGACAGATTTCTTGGCAACTGAAAATTTAGGTTTTGGTCATTGATGTAATTGGTGCTAGAATTTCCAAATGTTAACATACATTACGTGTATAGTCCACATATGTTCTAGGTATCTTATACCAGGTCACTTTTAAACACCAGATCATGAGAATTCTGAATGATATTCGTTGAAGGGACCACTAACATTTCTATTCTCTAAAGCCGTTGGATAAAAAATATACTTCTACTTCAGTGGAATTTTAAATCAAAATTCTTTCTTTTTTTTCTTTTTAATTTTTATTTTCTATATATATATTTTAATTGTCCAGCTAATTTATTTCTATTTTTGGTAGAGACGGGGTCTCACTCTTGCTCAGGCTGGTCTCAAACTCCTGAGCTCAAGCAGTCCTCCCGCCTCGGCCTCCCAGAGTGCTAGGATTACAGGCGTGAGCCACTGTGCCTGGCCCAAAATTCTTATAAGGATAGAATATGGAGCTAAAAAGAAAAATGATCATTGACAGAATTGGATAAGATATATATTAATAATATTGAGCAAGTTGAATTATTATACATTCAAGAGCAAGTTTGATGAGTATATTTTCTGCATTAATATCAATGTTTTAAATTTTCAGGTAGACCAGAAGAAGGACCAAGTGTGGAAGGACTCAATGTGCCAACAAAAGCTGCTTTAGGTAATGTGCTCAAAACCCTATATTGGGATTTAAAGGGTGAGACTCATTAAGAAAAAAGTGAATCCTGTCTTCGCATTCTGCCCAGGTGTCTCTGTTTATAGCATCATGAATCTATTAGTGAGATTTAATTAAGCAAAAGTTGCTGTATTTTAGCCAGCTTTATGAATATAAAATGCAGCAGTCTATACACTTAACCAAGATTACTGTTGTTGCTTTTGTTTGTTTGTTTATTTATTACTACCCGAACCTCCCTCCCTATTTATTTTTTTAGTTAAATTAAATTTTTTTCTTTGGCCAGGCGCGGTGGCTCACGCCTGTAATCCTAGCACTCTGGGAGGCCGAGGCGGGTGGATTGCTCAAGGTCAGGAGCTCTAGACCAGCCTGAGCAAGAGCAAGACCCGTCTCTACTAAAAAATAGAAAGAAATTAGCTGGACAACTAAAAATATATATATAGAAAAAATTAGCCAGGCATGGTGGCGCATGTCTGTAGTCCCAGCTACTCGGGAGGCTGAGGCAGGAGGATCACTTGAGCCCAGGAGTTTGAGATTGCTGTGAGCTAGGCTGACACCACGGCACTCTAGCCCAGACAGGAGAGTGAGACTCTGTCTCAAAAAAAGAAAACAAACAAAAAAAATGCTCCTAAAGAAAACACTGAATGGGGCAAGCCCAGGCTCTTTATTTCTTTTCAGTGTGGTGTTCAAAAATACATTTTCTGAGTTTGGACACTGCATGGGATCACTGAGGACTCCACTTTGGCTTAGCTCTTTTACTCTAATATATAATTGTATGCTGAGTCTTCTGTCTGACAAACTAATGTGGAAAATGTGATAGTCTCTTAAATAATGATGTGCAGTATCTTAGAATTAAAAGACACACTAAAAAGAAAAATTGTGTGTGATTTCTATTGGTCTGACACTTTAACTTTTATTTTTTGGCAGAAGCTTCCTCTATCATAAAAAAGAAACCAAATCAAGTTAAAAAAGGAGTGAGTATTGTGTAATTATGTATAATATATCTCGTAGTTCAGCTTTAAAACTAAAAAGCCATTTTGTCACTTTAGTTTTGTTTTTTATACTTAGTGAATTTTTTCTAGAATGAATGTTTAACATTTCTTCTGTCTGTGATAAAATTCTGCAAAACATTAACAAAAGCCCCCTGGAAGTTTCTCTCCTGCTTGCGTGGTTGTATAAGCAGTGACATCCCGGGAGGCTTTGGAGAGTGGTCATCTGGTGAGCTTTCAGATACAGTGACGCATTTCAGAGTGCCGGCCCTGGAGGCAGGGTCCAGGATTTGAATCCTGGCCTTTGCACTTACTGGCTGTGTGGTCCTGGCCATGTTGCTTAACTTGCGTGAGCTTCAGTTTCTCATCTGTACGCAGGGTACAGTACGGTCAACCCTCTATATCCTCATCCACAGGTTCCACATCCTCAGATTGAACCAGCTATGGGGTGAAAATGTTGGGGGAAAAAAAACTAATAAAAAATAGGCCAGGCGCGGTGGCTCATGCCTGTAATCCTAGCACTCTGAGAGGCCAAGGCCGGTGGTTCGTTTGAGCTCAGGTGTTCAAGACCAGCCTGAGCAAGAGCGAGACCTTGTCTCTACTAAAAATAGAAAGAAATTACTTGGACAACTAAAAATCTATATAGAAAAAAGATTAACTGGGCATGTGGCGCATGTCTGTAGTCCCAGATACTCAGGAGGCTGAGGCAGGAGGATCGCTTGAGCCCAGGAGTTTGAGGTTGCTATGAGCTAGGCTGACGCCACAGCACTCTAGCCCGGGCAAAAGAGTGAGACTCTGTCTCAAAAAAATAAAAAAATAAATAATAATAATAATAAAACAGTAAAAATAATACAAATGAAAAAATACAGAATTAACAACTATTTATGTAGCATTTACATTGTATTAGGTATCATGAGTGATCTACAGATGATTTAAAGTACACAAGAAAATATACTTAGGTTATAAGCAAATACTGCGCCACTTTACATCAGGGACCTGAGCATTCTTGGATTTTGGTATCCGAGGGGATCCCGGAGCCAACACCTGGAGGATACCAAGGGAGGGCCATAATAATGCCAGCTTCTCAGAGTTGGGGCTAAGCAAGAGAACAAACGCAAAGTGCTTGTCAGTGTCTGGCAGACAGTAAACCTAAGTAAATGTTAGTTGTAGTTATAAAGTTTTCAAACAACTTCGATAGACTATAACCTTATATATCTTCCAGCTTGGGGCCAAGAAAGGAAGTTTGGGAGCCCAGAAACTGGCGAACACATGCTTTAATGAAATTGAAAAACAAGCTCAAGCTGTAGATAAAATGAAGGAACAGGAAGACCTTCTGGCCAGGGCAGCCCCTAAAGAAGAATCAATGTAAGTTTAATTTTTTTATAGTAATATGTTTTGGGGGAATAAAACTATTAATTAAACAACTCCAAGATTTGCTTTCCAAATGCCATTAATTTTTAAGTGTGTGCATGAGTAGGGTACTGCAAAATTTAGTTTTAGGAAAACTGATGTTACATGGAGGTGTGGATTGGAAGGGAAGGGACTAGTGGCGAGGGGGCAGCAAGGATCTTTGGTTGCAGCTTTGAGGCAGGACTGGGGCAGTGACGGTGAGAAGGGAAAGGTGGAGATGTGTGAGAGGTGTTTACACATGAAAGATGCTCAGCACTCTTAGTTTAGGGAAACACAGCTCAAACCACAGTAAGGTACCACTCACACCCACTAGGGCAGCTATGCTAAAAAAGACTGACAGTGACAGTGTTGGCTAGGATGTGGATGTGGAGAAATTGGAACCCTCATACGTTGCTGGTGGCAAAGTAAAATGGTGCTACTCTTGTGGAAAACAATTTGGCAGTCCTTCAAAAAGTTAAACATAAAGTTACCACATGACCCAGCAAATCCACTCCTAAATATATACTCAAGAGAAATTAAAACATACATCCACACAAAAAATTGTACAGGAATGTTCATAGCAGCATTAATCCTAAGAGCCAAAAAGTAGAAACAACTGAATACCCATCAGCTGATGAACAACAAACAAAATGTGGTGTATCTGTACGATGAAATATTGTTCAGCCGTGCAGAGGAATAAAGTCCCGATAGATGCTAAGACGTGGATAAACCTTGACAGGTGCATGCTGCTGGGTGCGGCGGGGCACACCTGTAGTCCCAGCTACTGGGGAGGCCGAGACAAGAGGACCCTCGAGCTCAGGAGTTCGTGACCAGTCTGAGTAACATAGTGAGACCTCGTCTCAAAAAAAAAAAGAAAAGAAAAGAAAAAGAAACAAGTTTATGCTAAGAAGAAAACCAGTCACAAAAGACCACATATTAAGATTCCATCTCAATGAAAGATCCAAAAATAGGCAAATCCATAGACAGAAGGCAGAGTAGTGGTTGCCAGGGGCTGGGGGAGGAGAGAATGGGGGATGACTGCTAATGAGTACAGAGTTTCTTTTTGGTGTTATGAATATGTTCTCGAATTAGATAGTAGTTAGTGATGGTGCCACAACCTGAAAATGTGCTAAAAATCACTGAATTGTATACTTTAAAAGGGTGAATTTTACGGAATACGAATTACATCTCCATAATGAAAAAATAATTATAAAGTGAGGCCCTACTGGGGGCAGAGACTAAATTCTAAATCCATGATGGAAGACCGTGGCTGCGGTGGTTTCCCCAGAGGTTTTGAGCCTGGGTCTTGAAGGAGAAAGAGAAGGAAGAGTTTAAGAGAACGAAGAAGAGAGAATGGTGACGTTGGTCCTGGGGGACTTGCCTGGGTTGGAGAGGTTGGAATGAGAGCGTGGAGCCCCTCCCAGTCCAGCTGGTAGCTTCCATGTGACCTGAGAGGCAGAAAGAGCTCCTTAAGGAATGCAGTGCTGCAGGAAGGGCTCTCTCAGGAAAGTGAGCGTGGTAGTGATACCCAGGACAGGAGAAATGACAGAAACTGGAAAATGGGAAGCCAGGGGCCAGTTATGAGACTGGGTTTTTTTTGCTTTTTGTTTTTCATCTATTGTTTTTTTGAGACACAGTCTTGCTCTGTCACCCATGCTAGAGTGCAGTGGCGTCATCATAGCTCACTGCAACCTCAAACTCTTGGGCTCGAGTGATCCTCCTGCCTCAGCCTCCTGAGTAGCTGGGACTACAGGTGCACACCACCACACACCACACCTGGCTAATTTTTCTATTTTTAGTAGCGATGGGGCCTTGCTCTTGCTCAGGCTGGTCTCAAACTCCTGGCCTCAAGTGATCCTCCCACCTTGGTCTCTCAGAGTGCTAGGATTACAGGCATGAGCCACAGCACCTGCCCTAGGACACTGGGTTTTAGTAGGCATTTTTAAGCTCTTGAGAGGTTTTTGTTTGTGTTGAAAACAGAAGAGAAAGATGGCCATCTGGCAACTGTGTGACTGGGTATCAAACATCAGAAGAAGAGAAGAAAGGAGGGGTGTGTGCAACAGAGAAAGAAAAGGCAACTTTATCCCTATTTCTTATGTGTGTTTTTTTTGTGTGTTTTATTTTCCTGTGTGTTTTATCTGTTTTAGCTTGAGTTACTATGGATTGTATGATGAAGGAAATAACACTTCTTTTTTATGAAGCTGTTTTAAGGATTATCTTAGTTAATGCTCATTAAAACACATCAAACAGTGCCTGGCACATAGTAGGTGCTCAATCCGTGTAACTTCTCACTGTTCATACTGACAGTTTATTAGTGGAATTTATCAGATAAGCCCAGATTGTTTGAAATTATTTCTCCTTGTCATTTAACTCACAGAACATAGAGGGCAGCACTAAACTATATTTAAGTTAAATGTGGTTTGAAATGCTTTATCAAGATTTACATTGAGTTGTCACAGACTTTAATTTCTCTTACTAAGCTAGGTTTTTGACCCTGGACAAAGGAAAAGGTTAAATTTGAGTGTTTAGATAGCTTCTCTTGGTGTTTGGAGGTGCCTAGATTGCTCACGCTTGAGGTCTCCCTGAGCATGCGTAGAATCAGAGCCTACCAGCTCCCTTCCTGCCGGTAAGCAAGTTGGAGAAGCACAAACACTGTGGAGATAGCGTGTTAATGTTAGGAGCAGCAGCCAGCCTTCACTCGTACCCTCCACAGGACTGTTCCATACATGATGGCAGCAAAGATGCACATCGGGGCTAGGCGCGGTGGCTCACGCCTGTAATCCTAGCACTCTGGGAGGCCGAGGCGGGCGGATTGTTTGAGCTCAGGAGTTTGAAACCAGCCTGAGCAAGAGCGAGACCCCGTCTCTACTAAAAATAGAAAGAAATTAATCATCTGGACAACTAAAAATATATAGAAAAAAATTAGCCGGGCATGGTGGCGCATGCCTGTAGTCCCAGCTACTCGGGAGGCTGAGGCAGGAGGATCGCTTGAGCCCAGGAGTTTGAGGTTGCTGTGAGCTAGGCTGATGCCACGGCGCTCAGTCTAGCCCAGGCAAAAGAGTGAGACTCTGTCTCAAAAAAAAAAAGCACATTGGGGGGATTCTATGAAATTTGATTTGGGAACCCGGTTGGGCAACTTTTTGGCCTTGTTCAGAACCACCACACCACTGTGCCATGATCACTGTTGCCGCCACTCAGGCCTGTCATAGCTCAGTTTCGCAAACGAGTGCTATGTTGGCTCGGAGAAAGCGTACGGGTTTTATGCTTAGGAAAATGTGAGAGTGTTATTTTTCAAGTTAATTTTTTTTAATGGCTATAAATAGTTCAGCTCAGTAAACCAAACGGCCCATGCAGTGCCCTGATCCTCGCCTTCTGGCACTTTCTCTGGGCATCCTCAGAGGTTGTGTACACACGTGGTAGGAAGGGTAGGAAGAGGGAGAGCTGCCCAGCCCTCTGCTCATTTGATCTGTGCATCCTGCAGTCCTCCCCTTGAGCCAGTACCTGTAAGACTCTCGCAGGGCTGAGAAGCAGTATTCTGACTTCACTCTGCTAGTACTTCCAGAGCGCTGTTCCTGTAAGCCTGGATGTCGAAGTGCCTGCTTGTAAGGAGTGACCCATGTCAGATGTCCTAAGAAGGAAAACTTTTCCATCTCATATCTTTCTAGTAGACCCTTTTCATTCCCATCCTTTCATCTTCTCCAGGAGAATCTGTTGTTACCATTATATCTGTTCATGATTTTAAACAGATATATTGTTTTTTTCCAAAAACTATTAACATACTTGAAAGAGTATCTTTTATTTCCTAAAGAATAAAATAGCCATAACCTGTTCTGTAGGAATAATAGTAAGGAAAATAAACTGCCAGATTAAAACAGACCAAAGAAATCATGCTTGACTCATTAAAGAAAGGAAACAGCAAAAGCAAAATTATTTTTTCCTCATAAAAAATTCTGTTGTTGGCCGGGCGCAGTGGCTCACGCCTGTAATCCTAGCTCTCTGGGAGGCCGAGGCGGGCGGATTGTTT